AAAAAAAAAAAAAAAAAAGGGGGCTGGGGTTTAACTCAGTGCTTCCGCCGCCTGCCTCACAAGCTCAAGGACCTTAGTTTGATCCCTGGTACAAAAAAAAAAACCACAAAAAACATCAAAATAAATGCCAAAAAATAATCTGCATTCTGATAAAAAGATAAATAAATGGTTCTCCACAAATTTTCTACACTAAACCTGGGGGTACAAGGGACAGACTAAGGAGAGCAATGACATTACTGAAAGAAGAAACACAAACCCAGTGTCGTGGTGCATACCTGTAATCCCATAATCCCAGCAGTTGAAAGGCCGAGGCAGGAGGATCGCCTCAAACCGTGAATTTGAGGCCAGCCTGGGTTACATAGTAAGTTCTAGGCCGGCCAGAACTACATAGCAAGACCATCTCAAACAACCCCTCCCAAAAGAAAAAGAGTGCAGAAATTTTGAAAAGATTAAAACATAGTGCTCAAGACCTGAGATATTCCATCTCTGTCTGCACAGCGTCTGGTGCCCAGCACTCCAGCCCCAAGCGCGGTGCCTCCTTACCTTGTACTGTCTTCCCCAGGTAGTCTCCGCGCCGCTCCTTCTTGATCACGTGGTGATAGATCTTCCCAGTGGTGATGTTGTTGTCTTTATAGAGATTAATATCCAAGAATCTCTCATAATTTCCAAGATCCAGATCAACTTCTCCACCATCATTTAAGACAAACACTTCGCCTGGGATGAAAAGGCAGTATAGAAGTTATAAACTTAAAAAAAGAAAGAAAGGAAAAAGGGCCGGGGATTTAGCTCAGTGGTTCCACCGCCTGTCTTGCAAGTGCAAGGTCCTGAGTTCGATCCCCGGTACCGGGGGGGGGGCGGTTTGAAGTTACAAACTTGCCTCTATAAGATTATTTCTCAAAGACTGACACATTTTTATTAAAGAGCTGATAAAAAAACTATTCATTGTGATAGACTATTACCATTTCCTTATCTCGATAGGGAACACAGCAATTCAACGATTCAAGTCCACCCACGAACATGCATCAGAAACATTCTGGTGTTCTAACATGGTGATTTTGTTGTTGTTGTTGTTAATCCTACTGAAATTCTGGCGGGTTTAGAATGCTAAACCAGGCATAGTGGTGCACACCTATGATCCTCCCAGAGGCTGAGACAGGAGGATCCTAAATTCAAACCCATCATGGGCAGTTTAGCAACTTGGTGAGACTGTCTCAAAGGTAAGAAATAAAAAAGGGCCAGGAATATAACTCAGTGTGAAGACCCTGCATTCAATCCTCAGTACTGAAAAAGAAAGGAAGAAAAAGAAAGGAAGTAAGTCTGGGCAACTTCATGAGACGGTCTCAAAATTTAAAACGTAAAAAGGACTAGGGATGTTGCTAAGTGGTACAGGGCTTGCCTGGCATGTTTGAGTCCCTGGGTTCCATCCTCAGTACTACACACATACAAAAAGATTCAGCTACAAAGTAGGTTCAAAGCCAGCCTGGACTACATAGCAAGAACTTGTCTAGGGGGAAAAAAATAGATGAAAAGGGAGTGTACCTGTCAGATTCAATGAAATTCCAAGTTAGAATGAAAGTTCCAGACCTAGCAAAACTAGCTGGGCACAATGGGCCAAGCCTGCATGCAGTACCAGCTACTGGGGTCACAGAGGGATCGCTTAGGAGTTCAAGGCCAGCCTGGGGGACACAGCAAGATCCCATCACAAGGAGAAAAAAAAAAAAGCCAGCCATAGGGGCACAAACCTGTAATCCCAGCTACTGAGGAGGCTGAAGCAGAAGGATCACAAGTTTGAGGCAGCTTAGAGAGAGTTTATCTCAGTTTTTTTGTTTGTTTGTTTGGTACCAGGGATCAAACTTGGGACCTTACGCTTGCGAGGCAAACAGCAGCAGCACTGAACTAAATCCCCAGACCAGGAAAGATGTTTTTAAAAACAGTATGGAAAAGGTGATGCCTTTTTAAAGAATTAACACATCCCCTCAAATGTCAGCATCAATAGTAGTTACTCAGGTAGTGGGAAATGTTAAGAGAGGAATATTACCTGTACGATAAAGTAAAACTAAACATGAGCCACAGGAAGAGGTACCACGTTTCCAAAAGGCTTGACTAATTTGGCATGTCATCAGCCACCGTAAGATGTACCAGTGATGACAAGGACATTCACAGGTCCGTGCAGGCTTAGCCTGCAAGTGTACTTCCGGGGATTCCTGCCCAAAGGGAGGACCCCAAACACAGGGCAAGGTGACCTTTCCTACCGTGCTCGTAGGGTGAGAAGGTCCCCGCATCAATGTTAATATAGGGGTCGATCTTGATGGCTGTAACTCGGAGCCCGCAGGACTTGAGGATGGTCCCGATGCTGCTGGCGATGATCCCTTTGCCAATGCCGGAGATGACCCCACCAGTGACCAGGATGTACTTCATTGGCGAAGTAGTGGCTAGGCAACCCGCAGAAGTAACCTGTCAGCCAATGAATTTCAGCGTCAGGGAAGAGAACCACTTCTTTAAAAAGCACAGCGTTTTACTGTTTCAGCTAAACACTTGAAGCCTCTGAAACAAACAGAATCCTGTAGCCTGTCTTTTTCGTTGTTGTTTTTTGGAGACAGGGTGATGGGAAATGTTAAGAGAGGAATATTACCTGTATGATAAAATAAAATTAAACATGATCCACAGCAAGAAGCCAAGTAGTGCTGGGGATTAGCTCAGTGGTTCCGCTGCCTGCCTTGTGAGAGCCAAGAACCCAAGTTGGATCCCCGGTACCACACACACACACACACACACAGCCGAATAGTGCAGCTAGGTAGTACAGGCTGGTCTCGAACTCACTATGTAGCCCAGAATAGCTTCGAATTTGGGGCGATCCTCCTGCCTCAGCCTACAAAGTGTTGAGATGACAGGTGTGCGCCACCCCCCCCAATTTTTGTCACTACACAAAAAGTTTAGGGTACTTGGCACAAGCAAAGTGGCTGGCTCCGTTTCCCTGGCTTTCGTGTATGCCACCCGTAGGGTACCAGTCCCTCTATGATTCAAAGGCAGAGCATGAAGAGTTCAGACTCTGAAGTCAGACACATCTGTACAGGCTGTAAGTGGACAAGTTAGTTTTCCTTTCTGTATCTTTCTTCATCTGTTAGATGGAATAGAAATACCAATATTATTCAGTGCCAAAACAAAATGAACTGTCAAGCCATGAAGACACAGAAAAACCCTAAATGCCTATATTAGTAAGTGAAAGAAGACAGGCTAAAAAGGCTACATACTGTCTGATTCTGACTATATTACATTTTGGAAAAGGAGCAGGGCGTGGTGGCACATGCTTGTAATCCCAGCACTCGGGAGGCTGAGGCAGGAGGATCGCTGAGTTCGAGACCAGCCTGGACTACATAGTGAGTTCCAGGTCATTCTCAACTACATAGTGAGACCCTGTCTCAAAAAAACCAAAAAACAAACATTTTGGAAAAGGCAAAACTACAGAGCCAAGCCAGGTGCGATGGCGCAGGCCTGTGCTCCCAGAACTCTAGAGGCTGAGGCAGGCGGATCACTGTTAGTTCAAGGCCAGCCTGGGCTACATAGTGAGACTCTGTCTCAAACTTAAAAAAAACAAAAAACAGTAGTTATGATTGAGATCAGACTCATCACTAGCCCTGGGCCTGTCCCCAAAGTCCTCAGGGAACCTATTCAGGCTCTGTCTCCACTCTGACTGACCCACACCCACTTCTCTGTCCATGGCTGCTTTGTGCCTAAGGGGCAACATGCAATCTCACAACAACAGAGGTCTTGGGGCCACAGATGCTGAAATAGTTATGATCTCATCTACAGAAAATGTTCTCTGATGCCCAAGATAACAGAAGTATAGAGTTAAGAGTTTAAAAGCTGGCTGTGGGGCCAGCCGTGGTGGTGCACATCTGTAATCCCAGCATCAAGGGAGGCTGAGGCAGGAGGATCACAAATTCCAGCCCAGCCTGGGCAACTTAGGAAAACCCTATCTCAAAACAAAAAGGCCGGAGATGTAGTTCAGTGCAAAGGCCTTATGCTCAATCCCTGGCATAAGAAACAGAGAGGAGGGAGCGGGTGGGGAGAGAGCTGGTTATGGGGCTGGGGGTCTCCAGCTCAGTGATGCACTTGTTAACACCCCGGGTTTGATTCCACCACTGCAAAATTAAAGGAAAAAAATAGTTGACCATTGAACTGGAGAAGCGGCACAGGGCTAGGTTCCACCCCACATGTTACTAATGGCCAACTTTCTTTGTCAATGTTCAGGCTGGCCTTGAACTCACTATGGAGCCTACAAGCTGGTCCTGACCCTCCTGCCTCAGCCTCCCGAGTGCTGGGACTATAGATAGGGATGTGCCACCATGCCCATCACCTCTATTTTTTAAAACAAACTTTCTTAACTTCAAGAGCTAACTCACTTAAGAGTTATCCTGCTTCAGGGTCAGGGATTTAGCTCAGTGGTTCCACCACCTGCCTCATAAGCGCAAGGACCGAAATTCAATCCCCAGTACCAAAAAAAAAAACAAAAAAAAAACAAAAAAAAAAACGTTATCTTCCTTCATTACTGTGAGTTCCATTTGAACCAGCTGACCACAATCAGGGAGAGTGAACTATAGCTACCCATGTCCCACCCCAATGTCCCCGCTAAGTCCCCAGCCTGCCTTTCTCTGAACATTACGCTTAACCACAGCCCAAGCCACTACGCCCACGGGCTTTGCACCGAGCCACACTCCCATCCTTATTTTATTTTTTATTTTGAGACAGGGTCTCACTACTTTGCTGAGTTGAATTTGCAGTCCTCCTGCCTCAGCCTTCAAGAGTGCTGGGATTACAGGCGTGCACCCCTGTGCCCACCCTCTGAGCTATACTGATAGCCTTGCAATATTCTCAGTCCAAACCCAGACCCTCCTCCAGTAGATCCCAAATGAATGTGAATGCTCATCTCTCCCCACTCCTACTGTACCCAAGAGTCGTTCGTGAGGACACTTTCTCCCCAGCCCTTCCTTATCAGGCCCTGGGGGACCTACTGGTAAGTCCAGAGGAAGACAAGCTGGATTCACTTCTATCTATGACCCCAGGCAAGCTCTTCAACTTTTCACAACCTCAATTTCTCCAATCCATGCCCTACCTAGGATTTACAAAGGGCTTATGCAGGGGTTTACAAAGATGGTGCCTAATGCTGGGTGTGGTGGCGCACACCTGTGATCCCAGCACTCGGGAGGCTGAGGCAGGAGGATCGCTCTGTGTTCAAGGCCAGCTTGGGCTGTAAAGTGAGTTCAAACCAGCCTGAACAGTGAGACCTTATCTCAAAAAACCAGATAAATAAATTAAACAAAATTAAGGTCACAATCTTAACTGTCAAGATCTTAATTTGGTCAAAAATATACCATGTTAAATTTTAATATATTCAGGTAATGAGGTTGCAAGCAAATTATTAGTTTTCTGTATTTTCAAAACCAAGATCCACTTTTATTTTATTTTTTTGTCTGTTTGTTTTTGAGACAGAGTCTCGCTATATAGTTCAGGCTGGCCTCAAACTCACAGTGATCTTTTTTCTCTTTTTTCTTTTATTTTTTTTTTTTTTTTTTTTTTTTTTTTTTTTTTTTTTGGTTCTGGGGCTTGAACTCGGGTCCTTGTGTTTTTTGAGGCAGGCACCAGGAGCACTGAGCTAAATTCCCAGCCCTTTTTTCTTTTTTTTGGTACTGGGGATCGAACTCAGGACCTTGCACTTGCGAGGCAGGTGGCAGCACCACTGAGCTAAATCCCAGCCCACAACGATCCACTTTTAAAGCACATCACACACTTTAGAAAGTCACTTTTGAAAACTATAGCTTAATACCAAGAAGCCATCTAATCGTTCTAACCTCTTGGAAGCAAACATGTAAATGAGGAAGAGGTTTGAAAACTGCAGGAGTGGCCGGGCAAAATCCACTTGTGAGGACCAGGCAAGAGGATTGCTGCAAGTTGAGGCCAGCCTGGGAAGACCCTTCGCTCCCTCACGTCACCACTCAGCCCCCTCCCATGAAGACTAAGTTTGCCATTCAGTCCTTTGCTGCCCACAGGACCCAATGTTTATAAAGTTGGGACAGCGTCAGCAGTGATGCCTAACAAAAACATTACAGGAGCCCAAACCTCGCTTCCATTTTTCTAGTAGCCGCATTGAAAAAGCTCAGAGAAAGGGTTGGAGTCAATGAGAACAAGCCAGCTGTGTGGCCCAGCGTGTGTCCTATGAGATCTCCCTAAGAATTAGCCCTAGACCTTTGGCCACCGCGGTGCCAAGCCTGGGGACTTGGGTACCTGTGGCGAGATCCGTGTGGCCCCGCTGTGGGTCCTGCCCGCAGGCCTAGGGTCCCGCGGAGCACAGAGGTCCCAAGGGCCACCTCGGGGCTGCGTCCACTGGAGGAGCAAGGCCAAGCCGGGCGCCACAGAGGACTTGGTGATCGAGCCCCTTTCACGAAGTTCGATAACAAACACAACTAGGAAAGCGGCCCGAGCGGCGGGGACTTTGCGGGTGACGGAGTGGTGGTCGCACGTGCCACCGGCCTGCTCCTTTCCAACGGGGCACTTTGCTGCGG